CCCTTGAGCTTCGCGACGTCCTCCAGCCCCAGGCTCAGCCCTGCAGAGAAGCACACACGCTCAGCCGAGCCGCGCCGACCCCGCCTCGAGAGCCGCCTGTGCATCCCCAGCTGTGCCGCCGGGCACCCAAGGCTGCCGCGGAGAAGAGGCCGCGCCGTCCGCGCGCCGAGCTCGAGCTGGAGCAGAGGGAGCGTACGAGACTCGCCTTCAGAGATAGCCAGGAGCCCACAGTCACGAGCACCGTGTGCCTGGGGACCCCTCCCACGGCAGGGCTCTGGGTCTGGGCAGAACGTGCACTGCAGGACACCCTGACTCCCACACAGGAAGGAGCGTCGCCCACTCTCCGTGGCCCGTCGCAGGTGGCCAGCTGAGCGCCTAGCGGGTGTCCGGTGACCGGCCCGCACACGCTCACATCTGCAGTTTGGCGATGGTGTTAACGTGGTTCCCTCCTAAAGATGACGAGGACACAGTAATGAACGGGAACCCATTCAAACACCCACATTTGAAAACGGGAGATAGGGACCAGCAGTTGGCGCAATGGCTATGTTGCTGGACTCCCACGTAGTCGACTATGGTTCGAGTCCCGGACCTGGTGACTTAAACTCACGCCAGGTGCGTGTGTGTGCGTGTTGAAGATCCTGAGAGGAGAATGGAGCAGAAGGGATTGTGACGTGGCCATCCCCCCTAGGGGGGTGATCTCTCGCTTTCTGTCTGTTTCTTTCTGTTGAGCGCATGCGCCCTATAGCAAAAACCTCTCTAAAAAACAGGGAAGATAAACCAGGCACCTCTCCTGCTTTTCCTGCAGGAGCAGCATCGCACAGCTGCAGAGCTGCAGACAGCCAGCATGAGACCACCCCGCAGGTCACAGCCCCGCTGCCCCGCAGGCACGGAGGGGTGGGCCCTGGTGCTGAGTGGCAGGTCACCACCATGAGTAAGGCACAGCCGCAGGAGCCCTGCCCGTGCAACTGTGCCCCAGGGAGCCAGTCAGCAGGCCCAGGCCCCTCCTATCTATGGCCCTGGCTCTCCCCCGAGTATAACGGAGCGGGCATGATCAGGGCAGCTGGGGGCCGGGCTGATGCGACTCTGGGTGCACGCCCACCACGGTGTCCCCACTGCCTCAGCCAAGGGCAAGAAACAGACCCTGGGGAGCCTGGTCTGACAAGAGAGCAGGAGCTGGACTCCCATGTGGCCGACTGCGGTTCAAAGCCCAGACCTGGAAATTGACCCTCTCACTTTCCCTTTCTCTCTCTCCCTGTCTCTGTCTGGTCAAATTAAAAGAAAAATAAAGGTTGGCAAGTGGTGTGCTAGTTAAGAGCGCTGGACTCCCACATGGCCGACCACAGTTCGAGGCCCGGGCCCAGTAGCTTGCTTTCTCATTTCCCCTCTCTCACTCTATCCTTCTCTGGTCAAATTAAAATGAATAAATAAATAATGTTCAATAAAATAATTATTTAAAGAAAGAATTGGAAACCAGCAGTTAGCGTAATGGCTATGTTGCTGGACTCCCACGTAGTCGACCACGGTTCACGTCCTGGACCCGGTGGCTTAAAACTCACGCCGGGCGCGTGTGCGTGCCCAAGATCC